AACGGGGAGTCCTATTCTCCAGTCTTAATAACCAACTCGGCAAGTGCTCTTTCGCTCTGGCTGCCAATTTATCATTCGTTATTCTGTTTATGCAGCGTGTGGAAGCGGCTGATGAGCGCTCGCGAAATTTATGGTGCCATTATTCTGCTACATACGCTGTCTTCAAATTTGTACCTGGGAAACGATGTTTCAAACCTAATACTGACTTAATCTCCTGGAACCTACAAAAAAGACAGGCAGTTAAAATTCGCATGACCATGGTAACATGCCTTCTGTTATTTTGTAGAACTCAACGGCTGTGCTGTTTACAGTTTTCATAGCAAGAAAGGGAACTCAAAAGCTGTTAATATACTTCACGAAACCTTTTGGCTGTACTTGACGATAATGAATTGCAGACAGTAAATCCAAGAAAGAGTTGCTGATTTCGACACAACCAAGCAATCCTAGGACATCTTAGGCATTTTAGATACAACTTCTATTATCCACTAGATTATCAATCACCGCAAGAGCTGGGTCCAATAAAGTGTGCTCGAACCCCCAGAAAAGAAGCCTGTTAGAAAGAAATCACGCATAGAGCCGAACGGGGTTGAGGACCCTAATCAAGCACCACTTAAGTGGTACCTGGCTGCGAGACTAGATTAAATGACAATGTGAACTGGACTGGAAACAAAAAGGTCAACAGGGACATAATTCTTGGAGGGAAGAGGCTCCGACATGCAGTTCAGAGGCAGGAGAACGGCGTTTCGTAAGAGGGAGAAAATTCGAGTCGGTCTAGCATGAAGTCACTAGAAGTGGAAGAAGACAATTCTCAACTTGTTCAAATAGAAAGAGTATACAGTACAAAGTCAAATTATATAAGGGTGATCCCCTTTCCTCTTTCCTGTGGATGAGTTTTGACAAATACTTCATCCCCACAACATTCATGAACTATCTTTGTTGTATTCTCATGACGCACCAATATTTAAACTGGGATCAAAGCAGCGAAACATTCGCATGCAGATAGAAGCACGGTTGGGTTTAAAGCAAATATGGACGTCCGGGTGATGACGCAAAATTTCACTTAACACCTGCCGCCCACTTACACCTCCCCTAAAAAGTCGTCATAGTGCGCTTTCGATTGCAAACGTGTGGATGTTGCACGACCATGTATGTAATCACGCCGTAGAATTAACACTTATAAACAATGTTGTCCACACGCACGTGATTGTATCACACTGTCACGTACATGTGCAGGTATATAAATAAGGAAGGCAGAAGTCAGCGTTTAGGCAGAGAGATATATACGGAGTTTGATTGAATTCTAAACACCTGAAAGATGACCAGTCTGTCATCACTACTGTTGCTGGCTGTTGCGCAGGAACTCCTATGCCAGGCGTCACTAGCCTACCGGATGCCGAAAGTGGAGGATGCGAAGAGCAAAGGCCTGTATTTGAGCACCCTAAATGCGGAGGATGCAAATCCGGAGAAATCTGAACAGATTCTGGTGCCCGCGGGCTTTTGGAAGAGGAGCTGGACCGAAATTCGCGACCGTTGGAATGAGATCGGCAGTTGCACTAAAGGTTGCGGTCGGTCAAACATCAGTTGCTTACTGAAATGTATTGGTTATAAGTGAACAAATACACAATTTGCATTTAGCGTTTAATGCATGAACATTTCTTCTTTACGCAACAACTAATATCTGGCCAGACAAGTATGCCTATCGGGGAAAATTACTGCCGTATTCGGTAGTCAACAAACACCTCAGTACGATAGGTTCAGGCACGCATTCAAACTGCTGGTCGGCAATGACAATTTAAACATTGACAAAGGAAAGCTGGCCCGGCTCTTGCAAAACGTCAGCAAAGACAAAAGCTTGTTCCGGTGAGCACTCACATGTTCTCCGGTATTTTTTTTAATGTGAGCAGAGGCAAACGCAAATAATTAAATCGGTATTCTAGCTGGTACATGTTGTTGCGAAATTATAGATAACGGCGGCGGGAAAAATACTATATTATATGTTAAAACACGGACACAAAGAATTCCAACATTTTTAGATGCGACCATTGGTAATATAGATTATGCGTATGAAGCATTACGGCGCGTAGGAGGCAAAGTGATATAAATATAGCCTACATAACGGGAAATATTAGATGTTCTTATTATAGGAAGGTTATATACAGCAACGAAAATGGGCGCGTTAATTGGAAGTCAACGAAGTCAACTCACGATTTTTGTGCCATATTTTAGGTAAAGGCATTATATTATAAAGCATGCAAATAGTATTGTAAATATTAACTTGATACTGCCAGGTGAGTTGAAATAACTATGCCTAGAAGGGGAAGAGTGGAAGGTTTTATATTGTACTTTATCAGTAATATCCGATCAAAAGCTTATTTTAGATTAAGCGCTATGCTTATATACGGTTGTCCACAACCTGCTTTCCACGGAAAGGAAAACCGATTTCTCCTTACTAAGAAAAATTAAAAGCTTTGTGAAAGAAGTGTCGAGGCGTCATCGTTCTGCCCATGTTCGTCCTTAAGGCATGACGATTTCTGCTAAATCTGCCTGCTCATATAGGGGCTGTTTTCTAAATTGCAAGAAATGGGCCGTCGGATTACAAGCACATGCTCCAGCAAATTCTGCCATTTACTCACAAAATTAATGAGTTGGGAGATAATCGGATGGCTAGAAAGCTCTTCTGTTCTTCAGTCTATTTTCAGAAGAAGCTTAAAACCATAAATCATATGTATCGAATCTGATATCAAATCAACTTCTGCCGTTGAACTTTATAAAGATTGCCCTGTCTATTGCAAATATAATAAAACGTGCTTACGTTTGTGCTATGATACCCATGAAAATAAATGAAGATCGTAATGTCTCCAGTGGACGTATTTTTGCGTCATGACGTCCACACTCTCGCCTTTATGCCCTCTTCACCCTTCCGTGATGCACAGGCAACCCTAAACTGACATCCCCTCCCTGCGTCTTCTGGTTCCATTGTTAACTGTGCATCGGGAAATAGCACATTCAATCGCCATTTCTCGTGATTCATTCTAACGACCTAGCTGACAACATTTTTCTTAAATAGCCCGAAATATGATTTCACGCTGTTTGAAAAACAGCCTCTTGAGGTTTTATAGTATCACCTACGCAATGAGCAGAAAGATAACGGATCTCGTTGTGGTGGTTTCGATTTGCTCATGTTTGATCGCTTTCTCAACAAAATACATTCAGCGAATATTGAGCGGGCGTGAAGCATAAATTCGAAGGAAACACATTACGCGGCAGATATGGGGCACGTCCTTATCTTTGGCGCCCTATAAATTGTGGCCCGAGGTTATGATCTAATACCTAGGTAGGTTCAAGAAGCCTCGATGTGGACTAAATGTTCAGTTAATTGCTATATACTTGTGCGTGGCACCTATGCTCCTTAACCTAATGATCAGGGTACAGTCGGAACGTACAACAATCGGGATCGCCAAATAGCTCTACCTTTAACATGTATGCGCCTGGAATATGTCGAGACGAGACGGAAGCCAACCCGCGACAACAGATGGCCTACGCACGTGGACACAAACAAAGATTAGCGTCACAATGACAAACAGTATACAAACAAAAGCGGGATACGAGGCAGGCACAGCGGCCCACACATCGTTACTTCCTTCAAACAAACTAAACGCAACTGAGCGTGAGCAGGATTATAGTATATTCCCATGAAAGCCAATGCCAGTAGCATCTTCGTTGCACATGGAGCGCATTATATAAACAAACTCCTTCTTTGGCTGCCCCAAATGGCCCGCCAAGCTTCAAGTGAATCCATTCATCGCGGTCAAATCACGGCTTAAATGCGTCCTAGCCACACTAAAGTCTTGACTGGCAGTCCACAGTATCGATCATGTTCCCTTTTCACTCTTTCGTGCTTCAGCTAAAACGCCAACCTTTCAGCCAGCTGATGTCGAAATTGGGCAAAGTGGCTGAAGCAGGACAGTTTCAACCGCTTGCGGACATAAGACACAACTACGACCTGTCACAGCCGCCAAATTAGAGTCTGTGGTTGCCGCTTATTTGTGGGCCAAACATTTTGCCTGTGTGGCAGAATTTCAGGAGAAGGTTTTCCCAAAGATGTTTGCTTACATTCTTCCACACACTAACGCCGATACATTTCCATATACGTATACATATTTGCTGATGCTCAGGAAAGCCACCAATGTCACTGAACCGGTACACGGGCAAACAGGCCAGCCGGTAATAGGAAAACTGCTAACAGCTGACAATAGGACATGGCGAGAACTGCTGCCACCCAGTGTGTCTGGCCCAAACTCAATAAAAAGGCATACTAGCATTCCGCCCTGATAACAGGATCCTGGTTCACGTGGCCAACAAGCGCGGCCCAGAACCATGCCAGGACATCAAGTCATGACGACCCCCCGAAATGGCGTGGATCTATCCCTACCATGAAGGCAATTCCCTAGAAAAACGAATGCACATATCCCATTGGAAAGTATGGCAATAGTAGCTTATGTAGGCCGACACACTAATCCATACTCCCTGCATTTTTTTCCTACGAAAACGGTGGCTATCGGGTTTTATGGGTGGGGAATTAGGGCACGCAGTGGAATATACTTTAATAAATGCTGAATGTATTTTTACTTTACTAAATTGAGAAGTGTTGTTGATTTGTATATGCAGATTTTCCTAATGTGTATTATATTTTAACTTATTGCGGAAAAACCCAATTATCAAATTTCAAGCGTCTTGAATTGCCCGAAAAATTGAATGGTGGTAAGGAGGTCGTCTACTTCAACTAACCTGA